TCCCAGTAGTGTTTTTCTTCTTTACTGTGCAAACGCTGTCAAACGACATAACTGCAGCCAATCGCCCTGCATCATTTTACGACGTGGACATATGCAAACGCCTATGGAAGTTATTCATCAAGATATTAAACGCTCCTACCCTTGAAAAGAAAAAAAAAACATTTTGTATAACCATTGTCTTGTTACTTATTTTAGGATTACCAATAAAAGCATCATCATGAGCGATTTTACTAAACTAAATCGTCTAAGATAAGTGGATTTCTACTGATATGTAAAGGAAATGAACTGAAGGTTCAAAGTAACATTCTATAGGCCAGCGGTACAGTCTTCTTTTTCTCACTCTTGGGCACACGGAGTAAAATGATAATAGTAATAATAGGACTTCCAAAACTAATTAAGGTTGCAAGTGCATTGACATATAGACTTACGCGGAAGCATTTATGCCCTTTACATGCACTCACGCACACACTTATTCTTCTTATTATTCTCATTGTCAACACCAGCAGTGCCACCACCATCATACTGATCACTTTACAGGTGTCTGTTTCTTAATTTTCTTGTTAAAATATTGGAAAGGGGCATTGTCTTGTATTACGCGGAATATCATACACGATAACCTTACCCTGATGAGAAAGACAGGAGAAACGATTTCAGGTAAACAAAATATGCAGGTGTGTATTTTTAGAGCGAGGTTCAATATCAAAATTGCAAAAAAAGATGTTTTAGAATTTTTAACGCATGGGCAATGTTAAGTTTTTAGTAGTATTAGATTTTTTCTTTTCTCCGTCGCCAAAAATAAAAAGACTTGATCAAGGAATATCCAGCAGAAGTGGATGCATTACAAAAGACTTTGAATACATGTGATCGCACAATAAATGCATTTTTTGTAAAAATATGCCCGTTCAGATTTAATTACTTAATCATTACCAAGTATAACACACACCGTAACAGAGATTCAATAGCCAGACTGAACTTTTAAATAAAATATTAGTTTCTGCTTGCACAGTGATATAAGATTAAAAATGATCAACTCAACAATGACGCCGATAATGACGCATTTAATAGTTAATTGCGTGGTATTCATATATCTTACCCTCATGAACATTTTATGAAAAGAGAAATGCACGTAAGTGCATTCTGAATAGAGACGGCAGAGTATATGGTTTCTACATTGCATAATTCAAGGCAGATAAATAGGTCAAGTTGGGCGAAATATTCAATATCTAAAATCCTTCCAGCAGAATGGAATTTCTAAAATCATTCCAGTTGCTTATATCTCTGTTGTCTGTTGACCCAGCTCAATATTTACTCATTTTGCTACATAGTCACGGAAATTATTTCTCTAAGTCACATAATCGAGGCATACGTGATCTTATTTTCTTATTGGCTTTTCACTTAGCTATTATTTTTATCATCTTCTCTCCTTTACCCCCCCCCCCCTCCCCATACACACTCACTGTGCTTTATCAATAACGCGCGCCCTTTCTCAACTTTCATATTTCTAACTTTCTGCTTGCCTGAATTTATACTAGGCTAGTAATTGAATTGTCAGTTACGTCGTTATATATGCATTTTCTGTTGTCTCTCTCAAGAATCAAGATCGGAATCCATCGGATTGTTAATCCATCTATAAAAATCATTTGTTCATTCATCTACTTAACAAGGCAAGGTTTTTTTTTAATATGGATGACAACTGAAGCAAAACTGAGTGGCCGATGTGGCCAATACTATGAGGGGCGAAACAATGTTGTACACGTCATTGCTTACATGCGTTCACATGGAGTGCAAAATCGGTGGTAATCAATTCAAAATATATGTAAATATATTTAAAAAAAACAAGGATCAAAAATGGATAATTTTACATCTAGAAACTATTTATCAAAGAGATGAAAGAAATTTGTTATTTACCTTCAGCCTTTCATGTTTAAAAGAATCAATGAATTGTCTGGTAAGGCATCTGCTCGCGTAAATATTAATGTTCAATTATTTTTAATGCAAAAAGAAACACATAAAAGGGCTTTCTTTCTGAGGATTTCTTTTTGTGAAATTAAGTAATATCTATTTCAGTGAATGAAATTATCTTATCCAAGTCGAAATTGCTCCAAAAAGGAAAAGCATTGGCTCCTCTGTGTAAAAGTGACAAAATAAACATCTAGGGCTGTGTATAATTGCAAGCTTCACACCTGCCGTTCACGTGGAACGAACACCTGCTTGCGCAACCACCGTGGAGTGGTTGATTTCCTCCAAGAACTCACGAAAGTGTGAAAATTTCAAAACGGTCCAGTGGCTAAAAGACGGAATAAATGGGTATTGAACATTAAACGGTTAACAGTATTGACAAGCGTGAATGTCGCCTTTTCACGCGGAAAACATAACTTGTAAAAACACACTCTGCATAAATGTCATAGATAATTGCATGTAATTGCAATGACTAAATCTGCATTGAGAATAACGCAATAATATAGAGTCGGTTATTCTGAGGTCATAATCGTAAAGTGCAAGCGAAATAAAGATGACGTGACGGAGAAGGTTATTCTGAATTACTGAAACGGTGTGATTCGCGTTCACATCATATTTTCTGTCTTTTCTTTTTTGTTTCCTTTTTTTTAATCAAGTTATGGGTTATTGATATCACAGTGCTTAATTTAAAAGTCAGTTATATCTCTAAAATATTTCCGTAACCCCACCTTAAAACCTGATATTGAACACAGCTAAGAAAGGGTTTTTTAATTGTTTATGACCGCTGTCTGTTGGGGGTGTCACCGCACGTTAAGAGCAGTCAAAAAATAAAGCCAGATTCTAAATTACTGACGATTAAACAGATATACATGCAGCTTATTATAGTTTTGAAAAACACAGCCTAAGAAATTGTACATAGCAGTATATGTTCTACAGTGTATTCCTTTTGTTGGACCAATAATAACAAGAATAACCCTTGGTAATACCTGTATAATATGAAAAAGAAAAACGATAATAATTTGCAACTATCATAAGGATAGCTAAATCTGTGCTTGGGTAAAAAAAAAAAACGATTCCTTTACCTAAGACTTGAACTGTCAAAACCTGACCAATGAAACGTTCAGTCACCCTCTACAGTTTTTCCTTTATCCTGTGACTGATGTCCAAGTGAATTTCCAATATTTCAAAATATATATATCAACATATGTATCATCACAAGTTCGAAGAAAAATGACGGAGGGTGGGGGGAGGAATCGGCACATGCAACAGCCACCCTTTTCTACCTGCTCCCTCCCCCCTCCCCCCCAACCTTTCACGCCCCTGCCTCCGCTTTATTTTTCATTTGTAGAAATAGAGTTCATGTGCAAGAAGTTCCACATGAGTTTGTTATAATCTGTCATATTCGGGGTCCTCGCGGATTTAAACTTAGGACAAGCTTTTAACCCGTGTTTTAGGTGTCAAAGGATGGTCTCCGAGGTACTTTCACAAGTTGTATCGTGACACTTATGGCAGCTGACACACTAAATGCGAGCAAAGTAGCGTCTGTTTACAAGCCCCTAATGCATTTAATTTACTGCATTTACAACGTGTTTTGAATAGCCCGTTTCTGTTGTCTTACTCTAATTAAAAATAAAGATGATTAGTATTTGATGAACTAATGGGAAGGAATGATATTATTCATATATATATTTACTGTCTATATACTGACATTAAAACGAGTAAAACCATACTTTGAGTCAATGAAGAACGGGCAATTGGTGTTGTTGGTCCTTATTTTATACTAATGGCATCTGTTTCTAATCGCTATTCATAGACGATTTCTCTCTCTCTCTCTCCGTCACTCTCTCACTCTCTCTCACTATCTATCACCAGTTTACTGTAATCCTTTTCCAGAAACATTGGAGGCGACGAACCGATAATAACAACCATTAGGACGGTTAATAATTAAACGCTTTTAAGTGAACCTTAGGGGCTGATGTAGTATCATATAGATGCTGTAATGAAATTTAGATAATTAAACAGACAAATCCTGCCAAAAGGCGCGTCGCAGTCTAGATGGAAGCCAAGTGCAGATGTACAAATATTTGCTGTAGCTTAGTGGGTTTTATGGTCTGAATACATGGCCGTGCAAATGACACTGCGTATGGGAAAATACTTTTTCGAAAATTTCAATATTATATCTACTTTGTTTTATTGATGTTTGCAAAATCATTCCTTGAAACAAACTGTCGTGTTTAAAAGTACATAACGGCGATATTCTGTTAGATATGGTACAGCGCGGACTGTCCCAATCATCTTTAACTGTTCAGATAGCAATATGTAACAGCTTGCAAAACCATAGAAACAAAAAGCACATAATTTGTAGAAGGAACTCCTAAGTATTTGAAAGTCAATTGTATTGTAAAAAGGACTAATCCGGGCACATGTTTTATAATCAATCTAAATGGACAGCAAGTTACTTAAATGCATTTGACGAGACATCCCCGTTATCTTTTAAGAATATATCTATTAAAGGACGATATTATTTGAAAAAGCCATAAGAATATTTGAATTTACAGATGAATATACACGTTATATACGACATGCAAATAATTCTGTCAGTAAATGCCTCTTATAATTAAAGCTATGTGTATGACAAAATCATGTTTACAAAGTCCCTAATATTCTTCATTCTAAAAGTCAGTTCTACTTTGCTTTTTTATTTTATTTGGCCTAAATTATCTCAAAATCTCTTGATGTGTAACAGGATTAATTGTTTTTATTTAAAGCAAATCAAGGTTCAAAAAGCCAGGATTTGGTTTTAAACACATTTACCCATATCCCACCCTCCCCTCTTTTTGTCTGTTTTGAAATTCGCTTCGTTATTCTGGGCATTCTGAAACCTTTAGTTGTTCTCCTTGGAGTATTACAGAGTCTATACTTCTAAGTGTTATGGATCAATCAGAGTGAGTGTGTGTGTGTGTGCATAATCATTATGCAATGTAAAACCATACGTGATTAGTGCCCTAATCTTACGTTTTTCTTTAATTTGTTTTTTTCAGGAGCAACATCAACTGTCTCTGGGGGGCACGTGACTTTCCTCGCATAGCAACCGAGTAATGAGTAAGGAACCTGGGAAGAGGAAAAATGTAACTGGCTTGCTTAAGACAGGGAAAGAAGAAAGAAAACTCAATTAATTTAAAAATCAAATTAACACCTACGATTTTTCCAACTTCAGTTAGATGAGGATTCGACTATTTAACTTCCAGGTCCGAAAATATAAGACGATCCAACTCTCGCCCAGGCCTATTTTCTTCATGTCTCGGTAATTTCTATTATGCTGAATGTCGAACGGTTATGCATGGTAATGTTTGCTAATTTTCTCTGGAGTGCTGGAAAGACCCTATGGGAGTGATAAAAATATGCATGGCATTACTTCATACTACAGAGAATACTACTACGAAGCCTTTATAGACAACGCGGCTGACGAAACCTCAGTAAAAAATTGATCCACTTCCTAATCAGCCTGCATCGTACTACAAGGGCCATAGTGCGCGCGCGGGGATCACCCACTGACGTCTTCGACAGCCAGTAAGAGAGCAGAATACGTACGTTTCCATATCTCCCAGCAAAATGAATTTTGATGTGATATACACAAGGGAAAAATGGGGAAATCAGCTAAGCAAGGCAAGATACCCACTGCTAGTTGTTCCTCTCTTTGGACACCGTCCTTAAGCGCCATCTACCGGTGTCTTTCACTTGCTTACTCAATCGCTGCATCTTGCAACTGATATGAAGGAAAAATACGAACCAAGCAACCGAGAAGACTTAAGATTAGTTTCACACGTGGCAGCATGGCCTGAGAAAAGAACCACAATAAATTAGGTCTCTTATCAGGCAGTTTATTGGTGGACTTTACCCACCAATGTCAAGTAATAGCGTGATGCAACTGAGAGTGTGTAAAAGATGTCAGGTGAGCCCAAAGGTGAATCGAAACAAACAGGCGGTGCTACCCAACCCAGAAACTTCTCCTCAATGATCACCTCTTTGTCAGCAATACACTTGTAGAAATAAATTATTTGAATATATTTCTAAAATTTAATAATATATCTTATTTGCTGTGTTGCGATTGCTATCAATAGATTTGTAAAAATGTTTACTGAGGTAGCTTTTTCACTTGAATGGAGTTGCATTTTTGAAACGTGAATCCAGAAAACCCGCTGAAATTCATTCTAACTGCACACCTGATGCTTTTGCTTGGTTCTTTCTCGTATATCTTGTGATTTACGGCGGAGTCTTTACGATTTCCGTTTTTATGATGTCCATCTCTAAATTCAATTTCATGATATTACGGCTTACAACCAAAAGCTATTTAGTTTACTAATAAAGTGTTTAAATGCCAACCGGTATATTTAAGTAAGGGTTTTTCAATCACTTGGGATTCAAAACTAGAATGGTAACCGTTCTTTAAAATGTTTATTTTCAATTTAAACCTTCAAGGATATGAAAGCATTTTAGATACCAAATTTCTGGCTAATCACTGTGTTATTTAGCTCTAGGAATTGTCTGGAATATCAAGAGAGACAATAGGGGAAACAGAGGTTGAAATCTAGACTTCATGAATATACAAAATGTCCAATTAGATATCTAAAAGAATATAACAGTATTGTTTATTGATTACTTTCAAAATATTAATGACAAACAAACAAAAACATTTAACAAAAACTGACAATAAATGAGATAAATGAGGAAAAAAAAAACAAAAGCATAATAAGACATTTTTCCTGCATTTAATGAAATATTATAACTTTTCCCATGATCATGAATAATACGACACCCCATTACAAATCAGTAAGTCTATTTTACAAAGTTATGAAGCCATTAAATTCAGTAAGCGCTGGAAGATCTTTGACTTGGGGCATCTTATTCAAAGGCTTTTTTTTCTGGAAAAACAATGCATTGTGTTAGCACTGAGAGTAGAATGTCAGTCTTTTTCTTGACAAAACAAAAGAGAGAGAATCGTCTTTTTACCACCCTGCTGACACTTGTGTCGCAACTGATACTACGAGAAATTCCCTTTTTTTCTCTTGACTTGATTCGTAACCATTTCCGTCGACTCATATTTGGCCTCGATAAAAAGAAACCCTAAAACGGTCTTATTTATCTCCATTTTGAAATAAACTGATATTAAGAAATGATTAACGTTCACTATACTACACCTTTAAAAACTACCGTATAAAACATTTTGACACACTTTGACCATTTATTTGAATGTTATACCAGAATCAAAGCAGTCACAGTTAAACAACAACACACAATATGCGTTTCCCTACTTCATCATGAAATTGAAATTCTCCTTATTGTGTACACGACCTTTCAGTTGTAAAGAGAAAAACGATTAAATAAAAATAATCGAAAATAGCTTTTTGATGAATAGTTGCAGGGTTCTTGCGAAGATTAAAGCCACGTATGATAATAAGGAAAAGAGAATGCATTTGAATAGACCAACAAAGTTTTGGTAACAATGGGAACTAGCATGAAATACGTACAGAACGAAAGACTTTAATTACCTCGTAGTATGTATACTAAAGACATTGTGGTACAGTCTTTATTCGACCACAGCATCATTTAACAAGAAGTGCTTTCTAAGATATTGGAAAAGCAGTTATTTCATCTTTATAAATGTGTCACAGTCTCTTCATTTAAGATGTTGTCAATTGTTCAAATTTCAGCGTAATAATTTTAAAAAATGAAAAAAATGTAAACCGCTTTCGAAGTGGTAATTGAGTATATTTGCAACCGTAATTGAGTATATTTGGAACTGTTTCTGTCTTTTTTTTTTATAGATTTGACACTCTCTTTACTGCAGCAGTATAATACAAAAGACAAGCCAGAAACCCCCGTGGGCGGCCACGAGAGAGGGGTTGTAGAAAAGGCGTGGTTGGAGATTGGATTGATTTCTGTGACATTTATGCACCTGCAAAGTTGACACGGAAATTTTACACTGTGTTTTTTAGGGTTATCAAATTTGTGAAATGTCAAGGAGAGATGACATTTCCTTTTACAGCGGAAACAACTCTCATTTCTCTGGTGGTTGAAACTGTCGTAGTAACATTCTCATAAAAAAGCTCGGAAACATTTATCCCAAGCAGCATTAATTTAAGTACAGTATAGCGCTTTTATCAAAGACATTTTTCTCGGCGCGCAAGTAGAAAAACCGTTGAGGAAACCCGCACTTTTCACGCATACTGAAGGTCAAGGGTCGCGACAATCTTTGTCCCATGGCGGGTAGTCAGCGAGGTCGTGCACAGGTGCAGCGACGTCTGGGTCTAACCAGACTGCATGGCGACAGAGCACAATGCGCAACATAAGCTATGGAAATAAAAGAAAAGGTTGATACTGGGGAATGCGCCTTTGAAATATACCAATCGCGCCATAGAGCGGCAATGAAGGTCCTCCAGTGCTGACTGTTCAGCTAGAACAATGCCTTTACACTTAAAAAGTCAACCTAAATCTCCGATCAGGCCCCTTTGTGTACACTCACCTTATGTACACATCTTTATTAACTGTCAGCGTGAAGCGCGAACTTCATGATGCAATGAAATATAATTTTTATTTAAATAAATAAGCACTGGGCTTTTTGTGACCTATGTTTACCAAAAGATGTTGAGCAAATAAAAGAGGAAAAAGGAACCTTAAGTGTCAATTTTAATGGAGGGGTTTTCTGTTCTTTCTGAGTTTCAAGAACCCGCAGAGTTAAGTTTTATTAACCGTGACTGGTGTGTGCAACCTATGCCATGAGGCTTACAACAAGAAGCCTTTTGTATTACCCATCGAAATGCTGTTATTTGAGTCTGGGTTTCACAGTGCATTTTTCGGGATAAAAAGAACTTTAAAGGGGTTTAAAGTGACGTTGTTTTAGCACGGGTTATGGTTTGTAACTATTTCTAAAGTATCCAAGTGTCTGACATTAAACAAAGATGTTGACGTAAGTTATAATGTCTGATCTGCAAGCATACGTAAGGGCGGTACCTTGAACTATGGCCCTTTTGTTTATTATTTGGCTGTTTACGACTACTTAGTACAGAAACTCCAATCAAAACCCACCCTCAGGTGTCCGGTGCATGAACCGATTTTTGTGTGAATTCTGCACCGATAAGTGTGACATAACTTCACTTCAGACAAAAAAGTTTGAACCCAGCATTCCGTGAACGCGGACAAAATCTCACCAAGGGTCGCATAAAGTTCATTTGCAAGCAAATTCTGTTTTTCATGGCGCAACTAAAAGCACAGTTTATATACTAGTGCAACGCAGGGTTGCCTCAGTGATTATATATGGTCAGTCGGGCGTGGAGTCCATACCTAGTGACCATGCCTGCATTGTCCATTTTAAACCAGACTTGCCCTACGGCGAACCAAAGTACAGGGCAGGGAAGGGTGGGGAAATCACCTGGACTAACGACTGACGGTTACTTGGGAAGGGAAGCAGCAAGATAAGAGAGCTAGGCGCAAGGGCAGAGGTCTTAACGTATCGCGAATGGAACCGGTGCATGTATGAACTGAAAGTAACACGTTTCGTGACTACTTTGAAATAAAACAGAATGCTCCTCAATGCTACTGTGCTTATTTTACTGTGACAGCTTTCTTCGCTTAGTTGTTGCAAAATGTGGTCTGTTACGTGAGCGTTATGGCAGAACCACGGCATTTCGTTTTTATTATTTTTCTCGGGGGATATGATGGTTGCTTCATTTTCCTTTTTGAAGTTTACATGGGTTTATTATTATTATTAATATCATTATTTTTTGGGGATTAACCCTGGTACAAGTGCTGTAATCGACATAAGAAAACAATTGAAGATTATGTAACATCTTTAATGGCACTTTTAAACTATCAATTTGTGGAGCACAGATAATAATTTTTTCAAAAATAGATATAATATTCGCGGGAAATAAACAGTTAAAATGCCTCAACAGGATTGGAACCACGTTTTGTTTTTCATTTAGAATCATTTTAGGAAAATATACCAGGAGTATAGTAATTTACACATTTCGACGGTTAAGCATAGATAAATGAGAAATTTTGTAAAGCTTAAATTAGAACATGATAAATATAACTTTCAAAATTAATAAAAACGTCACAATTTCTATGCGGGAGGAACTCAATAACAAAACCGACGTACAATCAGTTTTCCCCAACAATAACATGCAAAGAAATTGATAAAAAAAAAAGAAAAAAGCATTAAAAATAGAAGGAACTCGTATTACCAGTACACTTACCTTGTAAGTGGATCAACCAGGTCAGAGGAGGTGATGTTGTCAAGATCTTGGATCTTCTGGTATAAAGAGAGAGAAAATGAAAACAAAAGATAGAAGATAAAGATTCACCTTTCTCTGGTATTCGTACATCTGCTCGAGTATCTTTTTTACTCTTGGTGTTTATATCTTCCACTGGTGACTCATTCTATTATTTTTTGTCTCAACAAGACGCGCGCAGAGGAAATACGTGAATAGAATACTGATGCGTAAGAAAATAATAGGTTTTTTTCTGAGAAATTAATATTTTTATTTTACTGGCTTAATGATATCAGGGTTGTTTTTGTCGGAACGTGCAACCCAATACTGCGTATAAGCGTTTGGAAGGCATGTTGTTTAAACTGAAAGTAAAACAATTATATTACCCATATTTTTGAAAATCAATTTGATATTCTTTCGTATTGAATGCCACTTTTCATTTTTCAATTAGCATAAGGGAAGACAAAGGTGTGCTATGAACTTTAAACGTTTGGTCACATTATCATCCATTCGCTTTTTACCTACGTTCCAAATTCCTGCACACCGTGGGAACGAACTGAAAATACAATCTATCTAGAAAAAAAAGATCCTCAAATGAAATACAATACCATATCAAATAATTTGCATTAAAGACGAAAACAGCAATTTATTCACTGCTCCGCGGGGCTGTATTGGCCTTCGAATAAAACGTAGAAAATCAATTCGGTGACAAAGGATTTACTAACGGATGGATAAATGTTTATGTCATGTTTCGCTGCGATATTGGCCATATTGTCATAATATTAAATCTAGTAAGGGTCGCTCGTATACTTTACCTATACAGCATTTACTAGTAACATTGGCCCACTCGGATATCCCAGATTGCAGCAGGGCACGATTAGTATTCAAGGTGTCGCTTCCATGCTAAGGTGTCAGTATGCCCCTAAGTTGAACGTGATATAGAAAAACACTCGGAACGATTGACAGTGAGGTTTGATGGTTACTAAGGCCTTATTTGACATTCTGAAATGATCAAGTTAGCCTTATCTACACCAAAATTCCCCTTTGAATGGGTTGTCTTGGGGAAAATATTGCAACATTTGTTCACTAGAAAGTGGGATTTGCAAAGATAATTTACATTGTGTATAGCGTAAAAGTAAATACTGATGAAGATCAAATATCAAGATTCAACTGATTAAGCAATTTAAATAAGATTAAATAAACCAATGTTACGAAATTAAAATACAAATGTAAAAATTATGAAAGAGGTGGAAGAAAAATAAAAGAATAGACACTAGGAAAAGTACAAATTGCAACATTTTGTGTATTTATTTCTGAACAATTTAATGAATAGATACGATTTTTTTCTCTAAGAAAAAACCCATATATATTAACATGAACAAATAAGTTACAACTAAGTAATGATCAAAAATAAAAATATTAATTTTCTTGCATTTTTAAAAGTAAAAAATGAAATGAAATAAACTTACTTGACCGTTGAATTTCTGTACCATTCGAAAAGGAAAAGGGGTGTGAAGAATGGAAAACAAAAATGTTAACTTTACTTGTGGCTGCCTTTTAGGGGTTAAAACGAAGCAAAATTAACCATAATTAAAATTTTTATCTTTTTTAAATTATTTTTTTACTGAATTAATTATTATTTTTCCGAAAGTTTATGAAATGACCATTTCCGAAACATGTACAAAAGCAAGAGCAATTTTCATTTTTGTAACTTTTTCTCTATAATTTAATATTGATTGATAATGCTTTTATGAAGTACTACTGCATCCAGAGCTCTCGTTTCACTGTAACGACATTATACCCCTAAAACATACTACAAATAAAGGCTTCCTGAATTTTTAATATTTCACTGAGTTTAAATAAAAATTCATTTCACGCAATAAGCGCAATCTATCTGTTAGTGTAATATCACACGTGATTGCATTAGAAAGCTTTCACGCCATGACAGGCTGTAAACTTTTACCAGTTTTATAATTATGCAAGCCCTTTAAATAAAGAGGCGCGAATTTTAAAATATGAGGGTAAGCTAAGGACTCAAAATTGAGTGTCAAAGAGTGCAGGCGTACTTTTTAAAATCTGTCAAATCATTTTTTGTTGAATAAGTTTTACCATCACGACACCGAAGAACACTTGGTCCTTTGTCTTTGTTCATTTTGATGTCAACATAAGTCTGGGTGAGTTCAAGATTCTCGTTATCGCTGAATATTGTACGAGTGAGAGGTTGCGGAGTGCGACTATTTCTGATAAAAAATAGCTTACTATTCTACCTGTGTGTCTTATCTATGATAGATCGAGCTCTAAGGGTCGGTTAAGAGGGATAAACAGCTCCTGCAGTCGTGATATGCCATGAGATCGTACATCATTTAAATCTGAGCCTGAGGACTTGGTGAGCCCCGTCAACCACGACATACCCAGTTGCATTACGTAAATAAATGGCTCTTTGACACGTATTAGCAAAAACAACGTTTGCAAACGTATGATTCTATTGAAGCTATTAGGTTTACAAATTTCATTTTACTTTTTTAATAAGTGTATATTCATATACGATAGTCCGATAACCTACAAATTTTTAGCATATTCGTAAGATATTTTTGCGTGTTGTTTTAGACTAAAGATAAGGGATGTCATGATTTTTCAGTAAACAAAATGCATATATTTGAACCTATCAGGTACCTGTTCAGCGCAGAGGCAGGTAGTTTTCGTTTTCATATGCGTCAAAATATCGCTCTTTGAAAATATAAAAAATAAAATAATAAACCCTGATTCAAAACATTGCACCGTGTCCTATTGTTGTGAGTTTAAAGTCAACAGACAAATTGTGGCAGCAATGGTTAAACTGTTGATAGAAGCAAAACGAGAACAGAGATGGCATTTTAAATTAGCATCTCCTCACTGGAGAGCTGGAAAAATATTACATCTCCTAACATGGTAAATAGCGTTTTGGGATTCTAGATTTGGTTTTTAAGCTAATATTCTAGGAAAAAACATAATTGTAATTTGTCGGCGCATTTTCTCTTAAATGAATCCTCTAAATTATATGATAGATTTGCATTACAGTGGTTACTCTCGCTAATGGTCCCACAGTTTTTGATTTGCTCATCTTTAGACGTGATTATATCCGCCAAACACTGAAACAGAAAATTTAGATGCCTTACGGGAAATATGACATAAAGCAATGCACTTCACTTTGAAAAAAAAAAGGTTCTTCATACAGCCTACAATAACGGACAATCGCGTCGTGAATAGATGCATCTCACACACCCTAAGCCGCAGCCATTCATGTTAAGTGTCAATGAAGCTCGCGTAATGTCATGTATGAAAGAACAAAGAAAAAAATTAGCTTTATTTGTCATCCATACATCTGACCGAGTAATCATGTATCCTTCCCGTGTGAAGGAATGTTGGTTTTGGACTGTCTCTCTTAATTTGTGCGGATTAATTATTTAAGCTTTGTGGCCCAATTCCATAAATAGATTATGAATAAAAAGGTAACAGAGCATTAAGTATTGTGCATGTGTATCATCTCCCAGTAGATGAATATAGGAACACGCTGATATGCTCGCCTTGAATAAGGAGATTGCATAGAGAAGAATATGTCTTTCAATTCAGAGTGATGAACAGTTGAAATTCACATATAAATGTACAACGAACATTTCGCATGGAGTGATATATAAATTGTATGATAGGCATTCTTAGAATTATAAAAAGATAACATCTGGAAGTCGTGCCTTTTTAGTTTTAGTATCTCTCTTAACTAGCGAAACAGCCTGGTTTTCTACAAAGAAAAAACGTTGGAGGGAAGAAGGCAACTAGGGCTTGCCCCCGACCCCTACATGCGGTTGCTATGGCAGCATGACATACCTGCTAACAAAATGTACGGAAAATTATTTTGCCTACTCAGTTAAAGAAAAAAGAAAGAAATCTTGTGTCAATTGAGAAGCCAAACCACAGCGACCCACCGAGGCTTTATACTAATGTCTGTGGAATATTTCATCAACCTCAAAAATATCAACACTGGTTTTTCTGCTTTTACTTTTCTATTTCAGGCGTGATGCTGCATCTCATCTGATAGTTATACCTAAAATCATAGCACTTGTTAATAATAATGCATTATCGTTTTGTATCAAATTTGTTATTTTATTTAGTATTTTAATTTTTTATTGCCAAAAAATATCATACGTGTATATACATATAAATTTATTGAGCTGACCACAGGCGTTTCAATCAACTTGTGCATATACTTTTTTCGAAAGCTTGAAAGACATTCATATGTATCAAAAACGCAGCAAGAGAAGGAGAGGATAGGAAGAAGAAAAAAAAGAAAATTTTTGAGAGTTAAATAAAATTTTATGAAAGCGATTTAATATTTTATTGAAGAAAACATAATCTAAAGCAGCCATTCATATATAGTTAATCAAAATTAGCAGTGTTAATCTTGTTAAACATATCGGGTATATTCTAAGATTTATCTTTTAAGCTCAAAACGTATTAATACCTTCTATTTTTTTCTGCCTTGAAAACACACGTCAAAAACACATGCACGAAATCAGATATCTTAAAATCCCCTTACAAGTAAAAGGCGTTCACACACTCTTGAAGAAACTCCCTAAAAGGAAATGAGAAAAGAATGGGTTCATTATTTTTTTCGTCAAAAATATTTTGTCGTGAAAATAGTAAGTTATCAATTTAAGGGTTAGATGTATTGGTGGATATAAATTCAGTAAGATGCTAATTTTATTAACTAATTTTGTTAATTAAACTGAACGGCTTTTGTCTATTTTCTTTCAAAATTAATCGCTGCAAGTCAATGATAATAATTGAAAAGTCACAAAAATGTGGAATTGCTCATTTTACAAACATCTGACGCTTTGGATGTTTATCTCCTAATATTTGACGCTGACTCTTAGCAGCAAAAAAATTGGAACATCTTAATTGGCGCCATTGCCAGCGGCCATATTGGATCTAGAATGTTGTCAGAGGATTTTACTTGATAGGATCTATCAAGGTTCCTTTTTCTACTCGTTGGTGGGTACTTTTTTCCATGTTCTGCAAGATAAGAAATCACGAACCAGCATATGGCCAGGAAATATTTTACCAGAAACACGATTTCCACACTGTGCTTTTCGCTCACTCTGCTTCCAGAGTTCAAATTGAACGACAAAAACTGACAACCGGCCCTGCTGCAATCTAAAGGCCACCCAATCGTCGAGCTCTTTCATACATGCTCGTTAAAATCCGAGCAAGAAAAGCAAGGGGCGGTGTTCAATCAGGCATTTTGGTTTTTCTTTGGGAATTTGTTTGCCAGATGTAGCAGCTTTTCCCTCTGTAGATCTTT